TCCCCTCCCCCCCCATCCATTCCCATAGTGAAAGGCTAATGACATGACAGGACCATGGGGCTTAAGAAAGCTGTGTAGTCTTCCCATCTTTTCATTCTCTAACCTAGTGTATGGACCAGGGAGACCCATCCTGTTGTCATGTGTTTGCTTCCTAGAAAGAAATGGCTATAGTCCTCTAGTAGAGAGGCTCCTTATCCATAGGACATTTGTGCTCCCAGGGCAGGAAGCCAGCAGGTATAAAGGGGAGGTGTTCAGAAACAATACTCTGAAACTGAGGTTGCCTGCTCCCTCCCCACCCATACCCCTGCCTTAGGTAGATGGAGTTCTAAACACATATTTCAAACTGCTACTGTCAAGATATGTTGAAAGCATCCAAAACAGTAAAAGAGAATTTGGTAAGACAGATCTTCCTAATCTCTTTAAAGGAATTGTCATCTCTGGTACATTTTAGTACATTTTTTATAGCTGCTATTCCCCAAAGAGTTGTTGTGTTGTATTGATAATTGAATGAGTAGAGAATTACTTGAAGCATTAGAAAGTAGGGCCAATTCTGGCAAAATAGCAAAGTTGGGAAAGTTTATCTTCATGCCCTCGAGCCTTTCTCCTTTCCTTATTTATCCTGTGTCCCATTTGTCCCAAAAGAAGTCTCACTTACATTCAGTCTGTGTCTTCCCTATCTCACCATCAAAACCGATGCTAATGTCCAAGGTGTTATAATGTAAAGAAGTAATAAGTATCATGGATTTCTGAGCTGTTGCTAGTAGAGATGCAAATTCATGATGTAATCATTAAAGGTATAAAGATCCAAACTTTGTTTAGGCAGGTTAAGCCAGAAGACTTAGAAATAGCATTGGTGAGGACACTTGGAAAGAAGTACCGTAGTCCCCTACTAGTGGAAATAAATTGTAGAGCCATTCTGGAAGGCAATTTGTCAGTAAGCTTCAAAATATCCCAGGAAGTCCACTTCTGGGCATGTGCCCAGTGAAAACAAGAGTTATGTTCATCCTGATACTATTTGTAGCAGAAAATTGAAAACTCCCCAAGTGTCCAGCAAAAGAGGATTGATTACATAAATGTCTTAGTCCATGTTTCCCCCTTTCATTACACTTTTAAATTCCTCTCACAGGCCTTTATCATTGTCAGTTTTTTCACTATCTTCATATCTTATAATCTTTAAATTCTTATTTGAGTTTACTTAATTACTAGAGTAAAGTTTGAAATGACTCATTTTGGTCTTTTTTAATATTTTTGTGCTTTCTGTAATAAATATATGCCATTGTAGAAAATTTAGAGTCCTAAAAACATAAAGGAGGGGAAAGAAATCATAACTCCATCACTCAGAGATTGTAATTGTTAATGTCTTAGCATAATTTACTCCAGACTGTTTTGATCAGAATGAAGATTTATTAGCTCCTGGTTTTTATTTTATGTGGCATTTTGCCAGATTATTAATGTAAACACATGTCAATATGTAATTACATTATAAACATATATCATAATTTAATCAGCCTCCTATTGCTGCTCTCCTATTGTTGGACACTTAGGTGGTTTGTAACTTTTTTTAACTGTGGTAAACAAGACTGCTATATATTTTCCTGGATAAAGTTGTTTGCTTTGGAAAAGGAAAAAGAAGATAGCATATTTTGAGTCTTAGAAATGGCTCTTTTCTACAGTTAACATAATGTGGACTCTATGGAAAGTGAAAGAAATAAAGAGATCATAGCAACATTGTACCTAGGATCATTTTTATTTTCTTTGTATTTATATCTGTATGCTAAAAGAGAGAAATAGAACTTCTGACTTTATGCTCCCAGTAAAATCTTTCAAATTTGACTGTTATGTTTCCATTCATTCTTCTGGCTAGCATAGCCACTTCTGTTACCCTTTTTTATGTGTTTTATTTATTAAAGATAATGATGAACCTCTCTTGAGTGGATTTGGTGATGTATCCAAAGAATGTGCAGGAAAAATTCTTGAAACATGGGGAGAACTTCTGTCAAAATGGTAAGTTAGAATAGTTCTCCTTTTCATCTGTAATTCTCATTTTATGGGTAGGGTATCTTCCCCTAACTACAATATTCAATTTTGGAATTGTTCTATTTTGGAACCTATTATAGAAACCAAAGTATGGGGTTTGTGTTCTAGAATCTCTATTTTTAGAGATTTATAAGGGTAAGTAGTGAAGATCTGAAATCACCTTTCAGAATATCAGAAACCTAATAAATTCTCATTGTTGCAGAAAATATTAATTCAGACATGGAATGTATGGAGAGAATAAATCAGGAAAGAGCTCCTTTTTATTGACGTGGTTAGGAACCACTGACTGGTTAAGGTAATACACAATTAAGACAGTACACAATAATCAGGGAAGTTTGGAAGATGCTCACACAATGCACAGAGCCACAGTAGAGACCTCAGGTGGGATTTTTCCTTATCTGTATTATGTACCTAAAGTGACAGAGCAGAGTGTTACGAACATGCTGTATATTGACTGTTCTAACAATTACTTTTCCTACTGACACTTGTAAAACTCAGGAATTTCTTGTCAAGAGAAATTCTCAGCTCGAGAGATAGCTTGACAACAATATTAAGAAGCACTATCCTATAGACTGTCTAGAAAGGATACACTGTGGTGTATTTCTTAATGAATCCAGAGACACTCTGCTAAGTCAGGTTGGTGAGACATTTATGTAGTTTCCTTTTTCCTCTCTGTAGGATGCCATTATATGCTGCGGGAAAAAAAAAGCTTGAAAGTGATCTGAGCACTTCTCTATTTCTGACATTCTGGTTGTTAGGGTTGTCATGTAAGCTCCCCATGGGCCTATTACTTTGGGGTCTAATTTTTCTCAGAAAATTTAACTGTTAAGCCTTTCACTCTATTCTTAGAAAACTGTGTTTCAGCATTTAAAAATCTTCCATGTCCTTAAGGGATGGGATTACAAATGGGCATGCATCTGCTTCTAGCACTCCCACAGTGCTTTACACTTTTGGTGAAACGTGCTCCACATCGGGAAATGTCAAATGTGTACAGGAGGAGAATGCAAACCAAAGCATGGTTTGTCTTTATACAAGTGGTTTTAGTAAATGAACTCTGCAAAAAGCCCCTTCACCCGCCCAGGATAGAGTTCTCATTTACTTTTGATATTCCTATAGCAGTGGTGAGACAAACCTGCTGATGCTCTCATCACAATTATATTTTCAGTTCAGTGAATTTGGAGTGTTTGGACTGCTGCTGGCAGGCATTTCATCTGTATAAAAAGGTTTCAGCTCTAAAATAGAAACGTAATTGAATCTTGACATGGTTACATAATAGTATATTTAAAATCATTGAGATACAGCATTTAGACTCTAGATTTTATTAGATGAACTCACCACCATTTTATACAATTGCTTGGAATTTGTTACGAAATTTTATTCATTCATTCATTCATTCATTCATTTATATTATGTCTTTCTCCCACTTCCTCAAATATATTAACTGAGTCTACATGTTTGGTTTTTTTTTTAATTCTAAAAATTCTTATTTCTTTTTGCTCTTGTTTTGTTTCTCTTCCTTGAGCTTCTTTCTGGAGACTTTAGGTCTGTTGGCCTTTTTGTATAGGTGGTACCCAATGAGGCCCAGGAGGGCTGGTGCTACATGGTTCTTTAAGGTGTTTAAAACTGTCTTCACTGGTTTGGGTCCTGTCTTCAGAAATAATAATATAGTTTGTTTCTCTTCTTTAATTCATCTTTTTTTCCCATCATTATTGTATATGTTCTGTAGGTAGGAAACATTGCAATATCATGGAATTTTAGAGCCTAATAGACCTGGCTTCAAATCCTACCTCTCCTCCGTCCAAGCTGTATGGTCTTGGGCAAGTCACTTAACTCTTCTGAGTCTGTTTCTTCATTTACAAAATATACAAGTCTTTAAAATTACCATTCAAGATTATTGTGAGTTAAAAATAATGGATGTTGTACTAGTAGTAATAGTAGTGAGAATTAATGAATTTACCATATGCCAGGCATTGTGCTAAGTTATGTACTTGATTTCAGCTATTATAACAGCCTTATGAACTAGTATCTATTTATATAGATGAGGAAACTGGCTCAGAGATTTAGTCAGCAATTCTGGTTAGTAAATGGCAGACCTAAAATTTTTAACACAGGCAAGTCTGAGCCTAAAGTTGGTTTATTTAACTCCACGTTAGATTTTAGTGGCAGTATTGTAATAGTACCTTTGAGCTCTAATTCTCCAAGTACATTTTAATGGGATTCTTAGTGGATAAGAGAACTAATGTTGGTATAAAATAGTATGTTGAGGGTAAATAAAGTTAATACGATCAATGACATAAAGTTATTCTGAAAATAATTTTACCAATATAAATTAAGCTAGGATTAGCATATAAACCTAGGGTTAGGTTTATTATTTCTGTAAAGAGCCAGGTCATAAATACCTAGGCCATAAATATATATAGGTCATAAATATTAGGCTCTGTGGCCCAGTAGTCTCTGTCACTACTACTCAACTCTGCTGTTGTGGTGCAAAGGCAGTCATAGACAATATGTAAACAATTTAAAAAGCCTATGTTTCAATAAAAGTTGCTTTACAGAAACACGCAGTGGGCAGATTTGGCCCACAGGCCATAGTGCACCAATCCTTGAATTAAGTAGCAATTGCTTTTGTTCTTTCTGCTCCCAACCCTTCAACTTTTATATATATATATTTTTTTTTTTCCAAGCAAAGACAAAACCATATTGAATTGTCTATAGCTACTGCATTAGGGTACTAGCATCACGGAATTAACCATTTTTAAATGTACTGTGCATTATTCTTTAGAATTCTGGGAATGTTTTGAGAAAAGTCTGAGTCCTTTTTGTATTTTGAGAGTGGTCATTTTGTATCAGTAACTTCTGTTTAAATCTGGTAGTCACAGAAGCCTTTCCAGGTCAGGATTCTGCATTACTGACTCAGTAATGGTGGCTTTCAAAACACAAAGCAGCCATGAAATCCAACAGAATATTTATTGATCTGAGTTTGAGGACTGCCTGAGTCATTTAATCGACTTCCCTGAACTTCTTTCTCCATCGGTAAAACTGGAAATACTAACCACCTACCTCAGATGGTTATTGTGAAGATCAAATAAGATTATATGTAAATCACTTTATAAATTGGTACCAATTCAGGCGCCTGGGTGGCTCAGTCGGTTAAATGTCTCCCTTCGGCTCAGGTCATGATCCTGGGGTCCTGGGATCGAGTCCCGCATCAGGTTCCTTGCTCTGTGGGGAGCCTGCTTCTCCCTCTCCTCCCCACTTGTGCTCTCTCTCACTATCTTTGTCTCTCTCTCTCAAATAAATAAATAAAATCTAAAAAAAAATTAAAAATTGTACCATTTCAAGATAAGTTTTATTTTCCCCATTTTATAGATTAGATAAATGAAGTTCAAAGACTTTAATAACTTATTTTGATGTTACAGTAGTACAGTAGAAATTTTCTTATAGTCATTCAAAAATGTTACTTGAAGCAAGGTATCATAAAAAAATGCTGAAAGCTTTATTTTTATATTTATTTTAAATATTTATTTTAGCTTAATTTTAACTTGGTACATATAAATACACAATTCATTTGTGAGTTTTGATGCAGGGCCAAGCTCTTATCTTTGGCTTTGTGTCCGCTGATTGGAATTTTGCTTTGTTTTTCTTAAATAAGCCACAACCATGAAGCTATAGTTTCTAGTTTTGATTTTTATTTAAAAAAATAAAAATAGAGCAATAATTTAAAGATACTTAGGAAACAGTCTGCACAATTCTTTCCACCACCCAGTCTTTTAGTTATCTTGGCCACATCTAATTCAACAGCTTTATTTTTTTTTTCTTTATTAGTATGTTACCTTTATTAAGTCTGTAAAAATCATTTAGTCTAGTTTTCATAAAAATAACACTGTTTATGGGTGCCTGGCCAGCTCAGTCGGTGGAGGGTGTGACTCTTGATCTTGGGGTTGTGAGTTTGAGCCCCATATTGGATGTAGAGATTACTTAAAAATAAGATTTTTTTTTTTTAAAGATTTGATTTATTTGAGAGAGTGCAAGAGAGATCACAGAGGGGGAGGGAGAAGCAGAGTTGCTGCTGAGTGGAGAGCCCGGTGCAGGGCTCAATCCCAAAATCCTGAGATCCTGACCTGAGCTGAAGGCAGATGCTCAACCGACTGAGCCACCCAGGAGCCCCAAAAATAAGATCTTTAAAAAAATAATACACTTACAGATTATGGCTTTATTTTTAGGCATCTCAACTTGAGTGTGAGACCAAAGCAGTTGTCATCCTTAGTAAGGAGCGGTGTTCCTGAAGCTCTGCGAGGAGAAGTCTGGCAGCTGCTAGCAGGTTGTCACAACAACGACCACCTGGTAGAAAAATACCGAATTCTCATTACAAAGGTAAGGGGCTGGTAATTCAGCATTAATCCTTTTAAAAATCTGTTAGGAAAAGATTGTTATGGCTATTTGATTTCAGGGAACTTTTTATAATTCCTTTATCTAATATAAGAATAGAACTTTTAAATACACTTCTAGCCCAAAGTTGTTTCTAGTGTTGGCACAGAAAAGAAGGAAAAAGGTTTTCTTTCTTGATTGGCTTCACCTCAGAGGCAAAAGATGTCCTCTACTCATTGGGTAGCTAAATCCTTTTTGAACATAATTGTATTTTTAGATCATTCGTGCTATGCAGTATGAAAAACTTTCTTTTGTTTATTTTAATTGTTTTCACACTTCACAGAAATGTGTTCTTTGTAGGTAAGGCTTAGTTCTAGTTTCTACAATTCGAAGAACATGATTTTATTCTTTTCAATTGTATTCCCTTTAGCTCATTCCTCTAAAAGGAAGAATTCTCATTTTTTATAGTATCCCTTTCTCAAGTGCATACATTCCTCAAGGTTTTATAAGCAAAGCAATAAAAACTATTCTCTGTACAGCATACAAGAATTGAAATTAATTTTCTTCAAGATTCGATGATGCTTTGTGCCTTTGCACCCATCTCATTGGTTTTAATTGTTGTTGTTGTTTCTCACATTCATGAAGTATTTATCTTTGGAAAGCAGTTTCTCCAGTCCCAGACCTGGGTTTTGAATGAATTGCTCAGAACCCTCAATAAAACATCAGCATTTTTCAGTGTGACAAAAGGTGGGCTTCTTTTAAAGATACATTAAAACCTTAAATGAATAATATCTCCATAAAACTATTACTTTAAAAAATACTTATAGGGGAAGAACAGCATTTGAACACAAAATTGGACCTTTTCTCACCAAAAAATGACTTTTACTTGATCAAAATATTGCTGTTGTCATCATTTTATTTCTAGACAGATTTTTTTTTTTTTTTTTTGAAGAACTAATATTCTGATTCCCTCCATCATGTTGCTGTCATTGTTCAAACAGCATTTATTGAGTGCTCATTACAACCTTAGTGCAGGAGCTAGGAGGTGAAACACAAAGCAATCATTTGTCATTACAATAGACACAAGTCATAGGGTGGCCTGAAATAGCAGTGGGGGCCATTGAAGGAGTGATTAATTCAGCTTGGGAGAACAGGAGAGTAATGTAATAAGTAATGTAACATTTAAGACCAGTTCCAGAGAAGAGCTCCCCAGCCATGGACAGATGGAAGAGCATTGTACTTGTAGTATGAATGGAGGCATTGAAGAATGAAGATACGTAACAGGTATAGCTAGTGAAGGTACACCTACTTGGTTGTTTTTTTTTTTTTTTTCCTATTGCTGGCAAATTATATTTTGGATAAATAATTCTCAGTTATCTCTCTGTCTTTCCAGATCTTCTTTTGAAGTCCTTTGAAACATTTGGTCAAAAATTGTTTCTTAAATGTTTTTGGTGTGGATTTTCAGACAGATAATTTTTAAAGATACGAACTGTCCAGTTTTTCTGGTTCCATGAAAATGGTGGTTCTTGAATAGGAACCTGGTAGTTATATGATGTGTAAAAGATCACTTTATTAACAAACTCTGATCTATTTGATTAACGTTTTATATATGCTGGTGTCATGTGCTTTTTATTTCACATTAAACTTCTACTGTGTGGGTGGCTAGAACCTAAAAAGATTTCTCATGGATGTATAATTATTTAGGGGCGCCTGGGTGGCTCAATCGTTAAGCATCTGCCTTCGGCTCAGGTTGTGATCCCAGGGTCCTGGGATCGAGCCCCGCATCGGGCTCCCTGCTCTGCGGGAAGCCTGCTTCTCCCTCTCCCACTCCCCCTGCTTGTGTTCCCTCTCTCACTGTGTCTCTCTGTCAAATAAAAAAAAAAAGATTTAATTAATTAATTAATTGCTGGTAGATGATTAGAAAATACAGATTATTTAACCATCATAATATTGGTGAATGCTTCTTTTTGTTTTACACTGCAGTATTATTTAATGTAAGTTTATATTGCTTTTCTTTTCAGCCTTACTGGAAATAATAGTTATTGTTGTATAGGAATGGTATTGATATTTTAAATTTTGTTCTGAAATTTTTTTAGGGGAAAAATTACTTTAAAATTTTTTAAATTTATTTTCACAGCAAGGTGTAATTTATATAGGCTAAAATATACAACTTTGAGGTATACAACTCAGTGATATTTTACATATAAATACACCGCTGTGACTACTACTAAGAGGAAGAATATACCCAGCACCCCAAAAAGTTATTTCTGTCACATTCCAATCATAACCGCCCCTTCTCCGCCCTTGAATAACCATTATTCTGACTCTTCTTTCCCTACCATTAGTTTCAGTTGTTCCTGAACTTCATTTAAATGCAATCATGCAGTTGTGCAGCATGTCCTTGTTTGTATGTGACTTCTTTTGATCATTCTATTTTGGGAGTGTATCAGGAGGCGTCTTCATTTTTTTGTTGTTTTCATTTTTTTAATTGCTGAGAGTATTCCACTGTATGAATAAGCCACACTTGAAAAAAATCTATGCTGCTGTTACAGATGTTTGGTTTTGCTTTGTTCTTTTCCAGTTTTAGCCATTATGAGCAAAGCTGCTATGAGCGTTCTTGCATTTAGCAAATGTTATGGTCTGAATGTTTGTCTCCCTCAAAATTCATGTGGTGAAATTTAATTTCCAAAGTGATGGTGTTAGTATTAGGAGATGGGGACTTTGGGAGGTGATTAAGTCATGACAGAGATCTCATGATAGCGATTAGCACCCTTATAAAAAAGGGTCCAGAAAGCTCCCTCGCTGCCTTCCATCGTTTGAGGGCACAGCAAGAAGTCAGTAGTCTGCAGTGAAGGAGAGGGTCTTCATCAGATCCCAACCATGTTCACACCCTGATCTTGGATTTCCTGCCTCCAGAACTATGTGCAATAAATTTCCACTGTTTTTAAGCCATCCAGTCTGTGGTATTTGTTATAGCAGTCCAGATGGACTAAAACAGCAGGATTTGTACATATTAGTATACATGTATTGACAATAATATTTACTTATGTATATGTATTATATTTTTAATTTATTTTGGACATGGGTTCTTTGCCAGATACATGCTTTATGTTCTGAAATTCCACCTGTAATATTACTTTAGAGGGTTATTTATTTATTTATTTATTTGAAAGAGCACAGAGGGAGAGGGAGAAGCAGGCTCCCTGCTGAGCGGAGAGCTCCACATGGGGCCCGGTTCCAGGACCTTGAGATGAGAACCTGAGCCGAAGGCAGACGCTTAACTGACTGAGCCACCCAGGCCCCCCTCGAGGTTTATTTTGCTTAGCTTCTTCAAAGACTAAATTTAAGATAGGACACAGGGACTTGATTTGTAGAGTGAAGCGCCCCCCGCCCCCGAAAATTAACTTGCAAACAAAACTGCTGAATGTCTTCATCATCATCTTGCTTTGTCAAGCTTGACTTATAATGGGATATATGTAGGATTTTTCCCATGTGACTTTTGTAATCCAAGGACAAAGGCCTTTCAGTAATAGAAAATACATAGGTATATATATTTTTAAGGTTTTTTTAAGATTTATTTTTGTGTTAGAGAGAGCAAGAGCATGTGGAGGGGGAGGGGCAGAGGGAGAGAAGAATCTCCAGCAGACTCCCTGCTGAACAAGGAGCCTGACGTGGTGCTCCATCCAACGACCCTGAGATCATGACCTGAGTTGAAATCAAAAGTTGGATGCTTAACCAGCTGCGCCACCCAGGCGCCCCAAGGTGCTTCTTATTTCTAAAAGCAATGGAGTTTGGAGGCACTCTTGTTTTTGTTTTTGTTTTATGTTTGTTTGGGGTTTTTGTTTTTTGCTTTTTCATCTCAAGAATGAAAAAGTATAATAATAATAGCTGCCCCTTTTGAGCACATGTGTCACATGCCGAATTGAGCACTTTATAGTCATTATGTCATTATTCTAAGAAAATCCCCATGAAGTGGTAATTACTATTTCCGTTTTAGAAATGAAGCAGAGGTTCAGTGAAGCTTAGTAATTTGCTTTCAGTCATTCAGCATGTAAATAAATGATAGAGGCAGAATTTGAACTCAGGAACGACTCCAAAGCTGGTTCTTTTCCAGTATTCTCCCTACTTGTCTATCCTTGAACTTAAATAAAAATTTTTGTATACAGCCATATGTGTACTCATACAGAATTTCATGTGGACACATAAACATGCTTATTTTTATGTGTAGATTTTTATTCAGTTACTCTTCTCTTGGTAGGCATTTACTTTGTTTCCAGATTCTAGCCTCTCCAAACATCCTTGTATGTGTTCTAAATCTTTTATGGAATAGAATCTCAGGAGTATGATTGCTGGATCAAAGGGTCACATGTTTTTTAAAGTGACTTTTAATTTTTATATTTAATTTACTTATATCCAGTTTGGTTCTCTGAAAGGCTATTACTGTTCATAGTTCACCAGCAATGTAGCAAAGTATCTGTAGCCCCACATCCCAAACAGTATTAGTTACCAGTAACTGTATTTAATTTTTTGCTCTCAGTGGATGTAAGTGATACCAGCATATCTTCAGTTTGCAGTTCTCTGCCTACCAGTAAATTTGAGCGATTTGCTCTTCTGTGAGTTACCTCTTTATCTTTATTAAACATAAAATCTCAAAGCCAGAGATGGAAGAAAATCACTTAAATAAAATAAAAATTATTTACCAAAAAAAGAACTCTCTAAGTATTCTCTATTATGTATATTACTCCTTTATCTTCATTATAAATACCTTTCTAAAACTAATTCCTTATTGACTTTATTGATGGTTTCATGCCATACAAAACGTTTTCAATTTTTATGTAGAAAATTGTGTCTCGGTTAAGGTCTCCTACCTTTAAGTTTTGTTAAGTGCAGTTTCTAAGATTTTCTTGCAAGATTTTTATTGTATGTGTTATATATTTATATCTTTAATCCATCTGGAACTTATTTTTGTACATGGCATATGATAGCGGCCCAATTTTAATTTTTTC